AACTAATATTCCGCAATTTTTATTCGGCGTATAAAAAAACGGCATGAAATATGAGTGAAATCGAATTAAGAAAATGTTAAAATATAAAATAAGATATACCTACCTATTTAAACAACGTTAGTGATAAATACAGAAAAATTAATTATTCATATTCATATTTAATTTTAGCTATTTTTAAAGTATTTAATATTTTAAAACTGTACTAGCTGTACTAGCTGTACTAGCTGGTACCAATTTCTTTTTTCAAGAAATATTATATCATAACATAATTAAATTATTTCGATACGTTTAAAAGTAAAAAGCGAGTAAGTGGGTAACACTGTAGACTAGGTGTCTTGAGGGTCACTGTAGTTGATGTGTTCAATTTGAATTCAATGATATAAAATCATTGTATACAAAAAAAAAGATTCTGAGCATAGACCTGTCAGCCTGTCATATGATATATTATTATGAGTTAAGTAATTTATTTTACTATTAGACATTATTTCTATACAGTATTTTTACAAAAATTTCATTTGAAAATGTCATCAAGTATTTTGTATATAAAATATATTTAAAAGTTTTAAATATCCACGAATAATATTTTTAAATTACAATTAAATAACTAAAATCGTTATTTTTTGTTTAAATCTTTAAATAACTGTGTTTATAAATTTTTTGATTTTTTGATTACAGAGTTAACTTAATTTACTTACGTGGAACCTTGTTTTAAATTTTAACCTTAGCAAAAAAAATTGAACATTTTATTAAATTCTAGCTCGAAATAATTTACAAATTTTGTGATTCATACGAATTTTGACAAAATGCGAACTTTAGACTAAACTTTTTATTTAATTTCTATTACAAAAACTAATGAGGAACCTCGTATTACATTTAAAAGTTTTTTTTAACGAGCAAACCTTTTTTCATCGATATTTATTTTATAAAAAAACTAAAAACTAGAAAATTATTTATGCCTTTAAATAGCTCAACATGAGTCGAAATATTTGTATTTTAATTATTAAAAACAGAAATAATTAAAAAATGTAATTATTAAACCCATTAAAAGGTGTACAAAGATCGTTCTACGTTTATTATATAAAATACATCTGAGTACAACTTGTATTTTAGTTTTGATTTCATTAATTATTCATTAATATCTAATAAGTTTTTTTAATAATTATTTTAAAGACTGTGACATTTTATTTTGAAATTTAAAAAATAAATAAAAAGATAATACTGAAAATGAAAAAATATTCTCTAAATAATTGACAAACTTTCAATGATATTTTGGAATTATAATAACAGCTATAATTTTTAATAAACTTGGTATAATAATAATTTAAACTAAATTATTTATGTCACACACTTATTATGCATTAATTTGTATAGATAGTGATGTATGTACTTTTGTGAAAAAAACTTAATTATAATACATATAACAACATAAAAATACCATTTATTATGATTTAATTATAAAAGTAATATATATTAATAGTATATTTATGCTATATATAACTGAAATAAATGCTGAAAAATGTCTACTTTTATAGTTTCTATTACTTTCTTTATACGAGTTTTATACGAGTGAAGTTCTTCGATTATTACGAAGTGGTACAAAAAACTCTCAATTTAAAACTTGAGTATGAAAATGAATTAAGTACTTTAGAAGGATCATTTTTTCAATAACAATAATAATTTATTTATTTACTATTCATGTACAAAATATAGTATCATTTTTCGTTTTTTGGACTATCGTCTGCAATTTAGATATTATAGGAAGAATACGTAGACACTTACATCAAAAAAGCATCCGCACTGTTAGTACAGAACATATTTGTAGATGATTATTTAAGGGATAGAATATAGATGTTTTTAATTTTTTAACACTCCAAAAACGAAGTTTTACTTTAAACTTTCTTTTTATACAAAAACAAAGTTTACCGAGTATCCATTCCATCCATAATGCCTTATAGAAACTAAACTTAAAGATAAACTCACGAGACAATAAACCCGCAAGAAGTCACAACTTACAAAGTTTGAACATTTCAATTAGTAAAACGTTAGTCAAAGATAATTTCACCATAAAGTTGTTCTTGTTTATTTCTAATTATTAGAAATTTATTTGGATGGAAATGTAATATAGATTACTTATATCATATTACATTAAACAGCATAGTAAAACAGTTAATTCTTGCAGGGTATAACAATAAAAAAAATGTTAATTAATGGAAAATATGTTGAAAAAATAAATTATCCTTATACGATTTCTTATAATATATTTAATAAATATAAAAAATAATAATCGTATCGTCTATAAAATGCCACGACAGAAGAGCTTTCGTATATTTGATTAACTGTATCTGTATGAGTAATTAGTTTGTAAACAGAATTTAACCCTTTTTATGTTTTACTCTTTTTCTTTGCTAAAAGGGATAATTTATAACAGTGCTTAACCAATGCTAACCGATTTCGACTTTACTATCCTGCCGCAGGTGGTTTTTAACAAACAAAACCGAGGTACTCCAAAAGGGCTCCTTTAACCGTTTGTAAAGACGAATGTCCCGGCTTAGAAAAAAAAAACTACCATGTTGTAACATTTAAACCAATATTGCAAGCAAATCAGAAATATCAAAAGAGAGTACAATTTAGTACACAGAACTGAAATATTTACAAAAATGTTTACCTTATCTGCAGAGTATTTAAACGAGAGTACATAGGATCCTAACCTATATAATATATTAATATGTTTTCTCACTATATTTCATATTCAATATCATCTCAAGTACTACCAAACTTGTAACAACATAACATTTTTTATTGTGTTGAAAAATTTTAAAATAAAATAAATTTAAAAATAATAAACATAAAACTATCTGGGTATATTTTATAAATATTTTTATATTTTTTTTAAATCCAACTACTCGGCACTATTTTTTTGATGATTAACTGTAGCATAAAATTATAATGATTATCTACTAAATTACCTAAATTTAATAATAACCATAGTTGAAAAAACACATCGCACAAAAATCGGAAAGGTTGGGTATTTAATTCGAAATATAAAATAGATGTATATGATAAAAGGTTAGGTAAGGTTAGATTAGGATTAATTTCGACGTAATAACAAAGAATTCACAAAGATATCTTATACAATTTTAATAAATGAAACGAATTACCTATATAAAAATATTAGAATTGTTTTAAAATAATAAAAAAAAACAATTTTTCTCCTGTAATTAAGTTTAATTTAATCCTTTACCGAGCAAGATAACTAACTGCCTTACCATGAACAGATTAAAAAAACCCAGTTAAACACCACGATTAATTATATAAAACTATTATTAAATGCTAAATAGTAAGGATATGTCGTTCTCGTTAAATTATTTCGATCTCCAAATATTTATTTATTTTGGTTTAATTTTAATAAATGTCATTCAAAATAGACAGTTTTATAATTATTTATTGAGAAACTAAATACAATTTACAATAACTTTTATTAAAATCCAATTAATATTTATAATAATAATAAAAACCTATTTTGAAACCCAATAATGATCAAATAAAATAACACTTAATAGATAAACACATGCAGTAGTGTAGACATCTGTATTTAATATTTATAAATACCTACTCTAATACAAAATACATTACAAATGGTTAGAAATAAATGTTTAACATATTTCCTACATCATTTTAATATACACAATTAATAATGTAAATCAAGAAACATGTATAATTTAATTAGAGGAGAGATATTTTTCAGAATTAGTGTAATATAAATATTTAAAATTCAATTTTAAAATAATTATGATTTATAATAGTAGTTCAGTAACAATTAATTTCAACTCTCGAAAAGTTACTGGCAGTGATTACGTCGAGTAAGCTTTTTGAACACATAATGAACTTGGAAGTAGAAAATTTTAATTAATAACAAACAAACGGACTGCTTAAACAACAAATCAATGTAGGTTTAGAAACATTGAAAATACTTTTAAATCTCGTACTTAATAACGATTATAATATAATGTAACTTTTAACCTTACAGACAAATAGCAGCAAATAACCAAGAAAACTAGATACACATCATATTTATAATAAAATTTCAAAAATTAATAAAAATCAATCGACAACAACATTTAAAAACAAAAAGCTTAAACACTTTTAAAGAAATAGAAATAACTCTACATTTTTTTTGGTAATATAATTTGAATTATTATTACGACTTCAATTATTTAACAAATTGTTTTAATAATTTAAGATTTTAATTATGCAAATGTGAATCAGATTTAATTTAAATTTTAGATCAACGTCAATGCATTAAGAAAGCAAATTGATCATTATAGATAAAACGGAAAGCGCTAAAATTAAGTTTTCTTTAAACAAAAACACATTATATTATATACCTATCACAAAATTCTACGCAGCTAACTGTACCTACTGTCGATTGTAAGGAAAATGTTGTTTTATTTTTTATTTTTAAATTGCTTCGTAAAAAGTGAAAAATAAAAGCTCTGCGAGGGAAAGCTAATGACAACAATGGGACAATATTATACAGCCGGATGTTGTCGTTTGGCAAATAGTGAATGTGTGTAACGAGACAAGTGGGCGGACGAGGAAATAGACAAACAAAAACATAAAGCAAAAAAACGAATTATTTTCTTTGTCCCCTTGAAGTATTTCATCATTGTTTTTAAACGCCATAAACGAAAATGAGTGAAATTTATCACACAAATATTATTTATATATACACAAACGATAAATTAAATCCCAGTGGGCTCTATTGAAACACATGTATTAAAACTGCCCCGAATCATTGTTTAAATTTCAATAACTTAGGTTAGGTTAGTATTATTGTATTAATACTTAGTGTCTTTGTAATTAATAACAATTGATAACTGATTAGCCTAATTATATTATCCATGTTTAAAAAAATAAAATAATAACTGTTTAGTACTCTTGGCATTTTAACATAATTTGTCATGTAAAATCCAAAATAAAAAAATGTATTAAGCACTTACGTGATCAGCATGAAGCAGAGTTTCCGTAGCCACAGCTGTTGCTTCGGTTTGCGTATGGCTAGTACTTGATATACGGTACTGAAGCCCAGATATCGTACAAAATTCCTCATGTCTTGTAGATCGAGTAGTACTATTGACGTATACACCAGTAGTGATTGTAACGTCTGTGTCTTGATTGACGATGACAGCAAGTTGGGATGTTGGTGGAGGTACAATGGGTGGCAAAGGCGTTGGCTGAAGAGCTGTACGGACAGAAGACGCTCTATGCCCGTCAGAATCTTCATCTTCCGCGTCATCTTCTGGCTCGGATCTTTCAGAAGATATTTCAGAACTAGTGGTAGATTTTTTTGAACAATCTTGACCTTTTGGAGGCGATTTTTTCTCTGTCGAATAGCTGGCTGCTAATATGGCTGATGCGTTTAGACTTGCCATGCGTTTTTTTACAACCATGTCTTTAAGGTCCATAGTAACAGTATCCGCGTTACGTCTTTTTCGCTTGGAGCCACCTGTTGGTGAAGTGACTTCTTTGGAAGACTTTTCAGGTTCTTCTTCTTCATCGGTGCTCTCTGGTTCTGAAACTTTTGGCTGCTTTTTCGTACGTTTAGCTGATTTTGGTGGTTCGTATTTTGCGTCATCTAAGCCTGTAAAAATAGGTACGTCGGATATATCTCACTTTAAGTATTTATATTAATTTATAATTCATCTACTTTACATACTATATAATAATATACACATCAATAAACATGTAGTCTAATCATCTAAACTTTAAAGAAGCCGTTTTTAGATACAGTGAAGAGAAAAGAAGCTGTTATTTTACAATGATGTTCATTGCTTTTATTTTGTGAATAACTTTTCGACTGAAAGAATTAATAAAATTGGTAGGTGTATAAAAACATTTTCCAGAAACAAAATTAGTCTTTCTGAGGGGCAATTATTTCATTTATGTATGTTTTTGATAAATTCGTAAAGAAAAACCGTTGGAAAAACTATCAAATCTATCTTAATGTATTTTTTCAAGAGGGGAAAAAATTTAAGTAGATTCTAAAACCTATTTATAGCACATAGATATAAAGTTGGTATTTCTTGAAAGTGATACAGTTCGTGGTACCAAAGTGAGGTAACAAACATGAAATAAGTATATCAATTCAAAGGATACTATGCCGAATAGCTCAAAAAGAGCCAGAAATATTTTTTAAATGTCAATACTTTATAGTCTGCAATTATTCTGTTTTGAATAATAACAAATGAAAAAGATTTTTCAAAACTTGTTTTGAGTAAATGTCCCATCTGTACGTAAATTGTTTTATTATTATTCTTTTTTATTAAAGAAAAAGTACCTACTGTGAAGTTTTTACTTTTGATCCTGGAAAGTATAATCTAGATCAGATTTCCTACCAGAAACCTTCATAGAATTTTAAGATCGCAGTATATTTTTCTACTATAAATAAAACGTCTTCGGACACAGAAACAGAGTTAAAAACACTCATTGTAAAACAAATGAAATCATCAGCCCGCTCAGAATCTAAAACGTGAATTCTTGTAATTCAGATGAGTGAACTGACAGTTGACAGCAATAAACCACTTCATTTAAAAATTAAAAGTATCTTAATATTAATTATTTAATTCACAGATTTATTTATTCGAGTAATCGAACAGTAGAATGAAACCCGGTTGATATTTACAAGTAAGAATGAAAACAATCTTTCTAATAACTTATCGACTAAACTAATTAATATTGTTTTTTTAACTTTAATTTTAATAACTTTATAAGTAACCGTTTATTTATTAATATGAATAAGAAAAGAACATATTTTTAAAATTAAGAACTATGGTTATACATAAAATACATATGAAACATAATATAATGTGAGAATACCTGGGTAGAATGCTTTGGGGAATCCATTTCATCAATTTAATATAAATTTGGTAGATATTATGAAAGAAAATCTTGGGTAATTAATATCCGATTATAAGTTATAACCTAACCAGTGAATGTATTATTTTTTGTTTTGACTTTTATTTAACACTTTAACCAATTAGACCTTTCCTAGTACTCGTAATTTCAGTCATATATTATTAGGTACCTACCTATGTTTTTTTAATTATGCATGTACTTAGTTTATTTCTATGTGAATTATTAGTTTATTTATATTATTTTCAATCCCTTAATATTATCTTTAATAAATATTACCTGATGAAGAACTGTTAGTTGAACTTGTATCATGCATATCCCAATGTCTTCCAACACTTTTTAAACCCGGAGTTGTCCTTTTCGACGTTCTTTTTCCTTTTCTAGCCGGAATTTCTACATCTGGTTTTTTTTTACTCTTTTTAGAAGCCGCATTTATTGTAGCAGCTGCGGAGGCAGCCATAGCGTCAATCAGTGCACTTTTACTTTCATTCTCGTATAAACAATGAACTTTGGCTATGGCGTTGAGAGACGCTACTCTAGGTCTCTTGGCAACAGGTCTACCTTTAACTTTGGTCTTTGGTGCAACTACTTTTGTTTTTCCTTTTGATTTGATTTTATCTACCACCAATGGTTTCTTTTTCTTCTCAACTTTGACCGGTTTTATTGCAGATTTTTCTGTTTTCTGTTTTTCTTTTTTTTCTTTTTCAGATTTTTGTTTTTCATTTTTTGGTTTTTCAGTTTTCAGTTTTTCAGTTTTATGTTGATCGGAATTTTGCTTTTCGGTATTTTGATTTTCAGTGTTACTTTTAGATTCTTTTTTTACAGGTGCTTTCTCAATGTCCATCTTTTCATTTTCTTCAGTTTTTACGGAGTACGGCAACTGGCTAACTGATATTTCTTTAATTTTTATACAAGTATTATCTTGTCTGATCGTAATAGTATTACAAACACTTCCATCGAAATCACAAACTGGGCCATTTTTTAATTGAAAAACTTGCAATAAAGCAACATCGTCCGGGTTTTCGTCTTTTACTACGTCCATACATTCTATGGTGGGATTGTCATCTACCTTCTTGGCTGAGTTTATTTTTACCTTATTTTTAGCAATAGCTTTAGCTTTTTTTGGTTTATCTTTTTTATCTGGCTTAATCTCCACGCGTGATTTCGTGGAATCAACTTCCTCTACAATCTTTTTTGTGGGTTTTGGAATAGGTTTCTTTTTCACATCTTTAACCTTCTTATCTTTCTGAACTTTATCTTTAGGTTTCTTTTCTTCTTTATCTTCAGACTTTTTTACAGGTTTTTTAGTCTTTAGCAACTTGTCACATTTTTCACTGTTCCCTGCAGAATTAGAATTTTTTCCTTTTTTAACAGCTGGCTTTTTTACGGGTTTTGCAGTTAATTTTTCTTTTAGCTTTGGTTTAGAAAATTTTTTCACCAAATCTTTTTTCTCGTCCAAGTCTTCAGTTTCTTTTTCATTTTTTTTAATGACTTTTGCCGTTTTAACATTTTTTTGTTCAGTTTTGAGAGTTTTTTGAGAAAGAGTGGGTTTTTTAATAGATTTTTTTGTCAAATTGATTGGTCCTGGTGGAGAGTCACTTGCGTTAGATGCCTTTTTTTGTTTTGTTTTAGATAAAGTTGATGATTTTTGACTCTCACCACCGGTAAATGTTTCTGTGCCTTTTCTAGATGACATACTGAATGTCTTGTAATACACGTATGTATTACACGATTACATTGTAATTTTCAAATCTGAAAAAAAATAAATCATACAATTATTTTAAGGAATATTTTTAAAAACTAAGTAAATATGTAGGTAGTACATGGAGACTCTTAGGCTTGTGCTATAGTATAATTTTTGGAGAATCTTCTTGGGAATTTTATATGACCCAATCGATAAACCCACCCTTAGTCACCCATAAAAGAATACCCAACAAATATGGTATTGAAATCATCACTCTGATGTTATAAAAAATGAAATATCTTAGTAATTAGAAAAAATATAATAAACTGCTTCAAACAAACAAAAAAAAGAGGGGGAAAAAAAAAAAAAAAAAGAAAAACACGTAAATCAAATCCGAGCTAGAGAAATGGACATATTGTTTACACGGTACAACATTCTCGATAGCAAATAAATCGAATAAAAACCGTACGATTTGATAACGTTGAAGTCTTCCGCGCGTACCGCCGAGGCAAAGTCGCTTACCTAGTCGCTGTTCTGTGATGTTATTATTATACGTGTATGAAGTAACGACGAGAGTATCAATATGCAATCCAAGGTCGGCTGTTGAACCGGATGGGTGTACCCTACGCATAAGTACTCGCGCTACCTACATTTACATCGCAGTCGTCATTCGCAACGATTGTCGTTCCGAAATTTCTTCGTCAATCGTGACACTCGGAGCACGGAATGGGGTGTAGGTGCACTGAGTAACAGTCAGCTAGGAGGGCCCTCGCTCGGAGTAATGTTACAACGTAATTAATACCACCGATACGGTCGCAACGGCGCTTTTATTATATGGCATCGCTGGCGGCGGCGGCAGAACCTCCGAGTAGAAGTTTTTACGTTATATTTTCGTTATTCGTTCGTAGGCCTACTACCGCCGAGCATTACACAACAACTGTAATAATATTATATTATAATATTATATTCTGAGCGCGCGGCAACGAGTTGACCCCGATTCCCGGAGGCGCGCGTGTTTATTGAATGGAAATGGAGGGGACGGCATCGGCGGCGACGGCGACGACGACTATGACGACTATGACGGCTACCATGCACGCGAGCGGGAGGCGAGACATCCGCGAACGCTCGAGTTACACCACCACGGCGAATGCATCGGCGGCGGCTGCGGCAGTGGCTGCTACCGGCAGCGGCGTCAGGCAGCTGCGGCACGTCCGGTTTCGCGGCAACCGACACACGACTACCACCTACCACCACCACCACACCGGCCCCGAGATCCGCGGGATCCTCCGATCTCAAAGTCCCCCAATAACAATGCTATAACGACGCGATATCGTCGTACGACAGATCGATCCGGCGTCAACAACAACAACTACGATGACTTCCCAACAAACGTAATATTGTACCCAGAATACCGCTACCGTACTATCATATAATACCATACTTTACAATAATGGGTACCTTGTGTTGCAGCCGTCGACAGGAGGCGACGACAGCAACAGCGGCGGCACTAGCGGCACGCATTGATTGGCCACCGGCGGCGGCGGGGTGGCCGGCGCCCCGTTCGAGCGACGCACTCGAAAACCAACGAAATATCAAACGAACACCAAGGAAACGAACGACGACTCCGACGGCAATCTCTCGACCCGCGAGCGGCGACTTATTACCGTTCGCTATACATATTATATACGCGGGCGCGCGCGCGCACCGAACACTGTGCACGCGGATACGGACAAGCGCGCGCGACGGACGGCACGAGGGATCGCACACTCTACACCATAGCCGTCGCGTTTCGTGCCACACTCGTGTGTCAAATAGTATCGCACCTATTTATGTCACAATAATTTTATGAACTTTTCGATTGAATTATTGTATTTATTATGATTTTGACATGATCAGAATCGCACGCGCGGCACACCGAGTGACGCGGTACCACGGCCGACGGACGCGAACAATGCACTGCTGTGCTGGTAGTCGTCGTCGGCTCTCGGCGAGTACGCGCGGATCGGGCGGCGGCGGTGGTGGTAGCGGTGACGTGCGGCGGCGGCGCGGTGGCGGTCGGGCAGACGGTTGGCCATGCGGCGGCGGTGGCGACGGCGGAGAGGTACGCGTACGTACGGTGTGCTCGCGGAATGCAGTCTACGGGGGGGAAAACGGCGGCACCGCAGCGACATCGAGCGGACTGGCCCCGCGTAACGGTCCAAATTGTTTTATTTTTCATTACTTTTGTGTTATTATTTTCATTATTGCTATTAAACATATTGTTGTTGATGTGTTTCGTAATGATGACCACCAAGTCTTGCCGGCGACCGATAAGTGCCTCGACCATCAGTTGATCAATTACATCGAGCGCCCCCGATTGTTGTTGTCCACCGTCGATCATCCTCCGACGTTATTTATATGGGAACTCTGCAATATTTTTTGTTTGCTGAATTTTTTTCACGAAGACCTAGCAGGCATTTAGAGTTTGAGTTAGAGTTTGCACAAAGAGGCAATTCTAACCAATATAGTTAATTCTATACATAAAAATACTGAGCAGTTGCACGTTTGACATTTTTAACCAGTACAGCTCAGAAATACCTAAAGGCTAAAATAAGTGAAATATTTTTGAAATTGACATATCAATATTTTGAAAATTCAAATCAATTTTATTATGTTTCTTAACAAAAATCTTCAATATATTATAAAAAGTATTAAGTAGGTATTAGAGGCATGCTCAAGAATTTTGAATGTGGGGCTCAATTTTTTTTAATATAATATAATATAATCAATATATATTATGAATTATTATTATAGTTTTATGTAAGTAGTAAGTACATGCATATTTGTCAAGTGTCGGAGGGGGGGTGAATCCCCTTGACCCCTCCCCCCTGAGCACGCCCATAGTATGTAGAATATATTTGTTGTTTGATGCACACCGGTTGTTAAGTGAGCTCAACATTTTTTTCACTCCCTTGCACAAAAAATATGATGGACAGCTTTAAAAATTCCTAAACGTTAGCTCTGATATAAATTGGTATAAAATATACAATATAATCGAAGTATTACAAGTTGTACACATAATACATTTTTGCACGTTTGCGTAAATAATAAGTACAAAAATATCGATAAAAAATTGTAAATCGTAGGAATTTATGATCCGATAGTTTAGTCTCATATCCTGCAAACTGAATTCAAAAATATATATGGAGTACTAAGTAATACATAAATAACTGGGTTATAGAATGTATATCCTGTTTTTCCTATAAAAAATGTTCCTTATTTTTACAATAATATACGCTTAGATGGACCTAGTTGGACCTAGCTAATGGATATTGCCTTCGTTTTACTGTCAAATATATTTTTTTAAATTTCTATCCAAAACATAGAACATTATTATAATATTACCTACAATTATGTTATTCACCAACTATAACATAATTGGTATATATAATAATACCTATATAATAATTTATTGAAGTATGCATGTACCCATACATCATAGTATATTACTCATGAGTAGGTAATGACATACTAGTGGCGTACCCAGGAGAGGCTAAGAGGGATTCAGCCCACCCCCATTTGCCGTATTAGAATATAAATCTTACATATAGTAAAAGGCAAAGTACAAACCAAGATATTTCTGAAAATGGTTTTGAAGAAACATTTTGGGCATTATCAATTATTTGTAGAGGTTATTACAGTTATGGGATAAAGTAATAACGACCTAGAATAAGCTAACAGATATAAAATTCTAATATGCTTTGTTTAGCCCCCTCCCCAATTAAAAAATCCTAGATACGCCACTGTGACATATGACAGAAGTCCGACGAACGGACGACAATTTATTGAATAAAAAGTGCATGTATTAAAATTTATATTTTAGTAGGTGCTGCGTGTTGATAAATCAAACAAACATAAGAATATTTAGTGAACATATATTATAAATATATAACTAAGGTAATCTTTTAGGCATGAAGTTTGGGCTATTTATAATGATATAATGATAATTATTGATAATTGATACCGATAAAATTATAAATTATACGATGTTTAAGTACTAATTAGTAATTTATAATTACTAATAGATTATAGCAAAAGTCTTATCGCAGTAATATTTTGTAGGACGTATCGTCAAAGATAGAGAATTATATGAAATCTTTGTTGAATATACTAATAACTAATAATTACTAATATTATGGCATATTTTAATATTTATACTATAAGGGGATTGGTATAAGAAAAACTTCTACTCCTCAGGCCTCATTTTAGTTTCCTCGTATATTCGCATCTATAGTGATAACTAATTTGGTATAGTTATCAATTATATTTTATATTTAACCAGTATTCTAGACAATATTATTTATTAAGTATTTTTAACTTGTATTTATGTATAATATACAGTTAATTTTGTTAAACATGCTCATCCTATCTTTATGCTTAAATTATGCATGTATTCAAAGTCTGAATTTTGGAATTTTCAAGTACATTTGAACACTATATTTTCGAGTACTTGAGATTTTTTTGTACCTCTTAAGGATAATCCTATATTTTTATGACAATACAAACTTAAATTGTTTAGAAAGTAACATCAATAGAATGTAACACTAAGTTATACAACTCTAAAACTGCTAGCTTAAATTTTGAGTTGTATAATTTTGTACACCGAGAATAATGGTGTATACTGTAGTGTTGGTCGAGTACTTGACTTTGGAAAAATTTTGGAGTCAAGTTCGAGTACTCGACTCGACTCGACAAAATTGTTTTTGTTCTTATAAATACGAGTACTCGCCCTGAATCGAGTATTTGTTTCATTATTTTTAAAATTAAAAATAATATAAATATTATTTAGTATTTTTTTGAAAAATAAAAGTTGAAACTATAAATAACTGAATAAACTCAAATTCTATATGTACAATTTAAAAATACTGGAGCAATTCCCAGTACTCGACCATTTTTCAAATATTTGGAATTTGTCGAACACTAGACTTTTTTTGAGTACTCTTTTTCGAGTATGTACTCGTATTTTGAACTCCACTCGACTCAAAATAATTAAAACTCAACTCGACTCGACTTGAAATTAAAAAAACAATACCTACTCGTCCAACACTAGGTGTATGGTAATGGATTAAGTAGATAAACAGGTTCAGTAATACCAAGGGTGTCGGGACTTTGAACATATACCCCCCACCCCTGTAAGTACGCCACTGATTATATGTATGAGTGATCTAAAAAAGGAAAAAAAATCCATCTGAGGTAAGATCACTCGTTTCGCTTTCCTCGTCTTGACGCAGTAATGCGACTAGCGAGATAGTATATAAATTGTATAATGCATATACAGCGATGAATGATGAGGTGTATGCTCGGGCTGTATGCTATTATTATATACATTCGTATTATTAGTTATTACACATTTTTAAAGCAATGATAAATCATTGCATTCCAATTCGGAAACTATTCTGCAGATCGATTGTATGGTGTTTATAAGACGTCATTAAAATGTTAAGTGCTCATAAAAAGAATTTACGAGTAATAATTTTTAAGACTTACTGAATACGTATATAGTGATGAATACTATACAAGTATCTTGTACTATCTATTCAAAGATATTTTTAAAAAGCCAGTCAAGATATATAATATATATTTTTGGCCAGTGACGTATTTATGGGTTGTGGGGAGGTAATTCCCTTCATTACCATTTGTTGGATTTAAGTATTAAACCAATAGTTTAATCTTGTATATTTACGTAATATATTGAGTTCCTATTAAAGTGCGTCAAATATGGTGGGGTGGAGGGGAGGGGGTAAACCATAACACTGTGTTATAAAAATTATGTCAACCATCCTCTCAATAATCTTATTTATAGTAAAATAGATTGTACTTACTGAATTATTGGGAAGTATATATTATAATGTGCCACCCTTATTCCTTTAACTATATAGATACACAACGTTCATTTCTGTATTACTCCCCAGTCACCACCATCAAAATTACAGCTATTTTAGGCCTATTAAAAAATGATATGTGAATAATTGTAATAATGTGACTTAGTGAGGTACGGTCGTACGCTCAATTTGAGAAAATGCTGTGAGTAGCTTCCGGATGAGTAACCACCCGGTTTTTAGCAACAAATCCTTGCCACGCATACAAAATAGTGCTCCAACCAATAGCTCACTTTACACAGTACCAGGCTAATGACCTTAATAGTTGAAGCCTTAATCCAAATAAAAAACAATTGTAATAATATTAAAGATTTTGATTTCTGTTCCGTGATATGAATCATTTGAGATCAATTCTGTTTAAGTAATTTTATAGTTTTTACTGCTGTCATTTGTATTATTGTATAAGTATATTTAAGTAATTTTGGCTATTAATTTAATATTCTGTATTCACTATAGGTATACTATTTGCCTTCGGGGAGTTAAATAAATTATTATTACACCATCATTGTAATACCATTGACCAACAGACCGAATCAATTAAGTTAATATTTATTATTATAAACAAACATTCCTTACAAATAAAACAGTGATATAACCTTGGAGCCCTGCTGAAATGTACTTATACTAAGCATACGATAAAGTTAACCAGAAAAAATATGAAAAAGCATTAGTCCTTGCTCTAAACTTTACATAATATAGTCTATATATTTTAGTGAAATCATTTTTAAGGATTATTATATCCTTTCTATAAACATTTGAATAACTCAGAAACTACTTGTTAGAATTTTCATTTAGATACATCAAAATTATCAAGAAAACTATGCACTAAATACTTTTCGGTAAAAGGGGGGGGGTCATTCAAAAATCAGAAGTTTGTATCGACACGGGACACTCCTTAGAATAAGTTATATAAAAACAGTGTTTATAGGTACCTACACTTGGCAATTCTAAAAATCAGAATTTGAATAAGTACGCTATTAAAGAAAAAAATGAGGGTGAGCATGCTTAAAAATGCACTTTGTATATATACAAGGTATACACCATAGTATAC